ACTTAAATAACCATTCTCTGGGTTTTAAACCAAACACCATGGCATGGTGTGTGTTTATGGAACCAAACTCCCTCTCTTCTGCTACAATAATTTCTCATCTACTACAATGCCCAGCACACTCTCTCTTCCCTGGCCCCATGTAATTCCCAAACCTTGCCCAGATCCTGACTAGGAAACTGCATTTTTTTTGGACTAAAACCATGCCAGGGACCTTGTCTACAATTAAACAGTCTAAATGATTGCTAAATAATGAACAAACACGTCCCAGCCTTGTTTAATTTATTAGTATACGGAAGTTTATAGTCACAGAGACATCAGGGTTTCCAAAGCCATAAGTCTACAAGTGCTGCCTTGAGTCAGAGCTCTACAGGCTTCCATGCATCCTGATATGTACCAGGAAAGGTGCCAAGAGGAAATCCAGGAGTGTCTGGGTAATCTGAGTGGTAAGTGTGCCCCAAGAGCTCAGACTTTTGACTCAGAACTTCATGGGATAAAGAGTGACTTATGGTCTACAAACTTGTCTGTGCTAGTCATTCCAAGGGGTTCCAAAAGCCCTAGCTTGGCTGTTTTTACTTCTCACCACTTTTTGGCTCCCAGCAGTGGAAATACAAATTCAGTTCACCAATTGTCAAACATATTGGCTTCTATTATTTTCCTCTTTTTTTTATCTTTTTTTTTCTCATAAAAAAACAAACAAACAGCCCACAAACAAAACAATAAAGCAGCATTTCCTTGCATATTCTGTTGCTAGCTCACTTCTTAGCATGAAATATGTTTGTTTCTCCTGATTGAAAATGAAAGTGTGAATCATTAATCATGAAAAATAAAACTTTTTCAAAAGACTGATGCAAGTCTGGGAAACTAGCAAGAACACAGTTTTAAAGCAGGATGTTAATACTAGCCAGATGGCCTCAACAAGAAATCTCGACCTGTGTCTGAATATGAAGAATAGCTTTATTTAAAGCCAGATCTCTTACAAAGAAAGGATGCACCTCTGTTCAGCAATCCAATTGACCCAAAGACTTTCTTCACAAACATTTTGGTTTGTGCTCAACTTCACAAATGTATTTACATTTTACACACCAGTGAATACCAATAGAACTTCTTAAATCACTGCACCATAATCCTCATCATTTTCAACCAACATACCACCTCACCACCACAAGATTACTGTAGTCAAACTGCAGTACTTCATTAACTACTCTTTTGTAAGTACATTCCTCCATTTAACCATTTGTGTTCTCTCAAGACCCAATTCTGCAATCCTTAATTGAGAAAAACTTCTATTAGCAGCAATATATTTTTTGTGGGCAGTGAATTGGGCCATATATTCTATCTGTGTGAGGAATGTTGACTGCTGTCTTCTTTCTCTGGCTTTAAATGCAAAAAAATTTCTGAAACTCTCTTCAAGCTAGTATTATCTTGATCTTGCGTATATCTCCAAAGATACCAGTCTTTTCCCACCACTTCACTGCAAACAACCTTTTTTTTAATGGAACATAACACAGACTACATTGATTTGTCCTTGAACTGCACTATAGGCATGTGTCCTGGTTTCACCCAGGAAAAGGTTAATTTTTTACAGTAGCTGTGAGACAATACCTAGGTTGCTGCTCTGTACCACTTCACCTCATTACTGGTGGACAGAGGGAAGGGACTCTCATTTCCAATAAGAAGGTGGACATGGCTTGTGGTCAGGGGAAAGCATGGCATGCAGAGGAGCTGTCCACCATTGTTTATCATTGTCCTGGGCCTGGTGAGCATTTTTGAGTGTAAATCACCCTTTCTTTGTACACTTTTGCTATAAATATTCTTTCTGTTTCTTATTTCCTTGCTGTTTCCAGCAAATCTTCCTTTCTCAACCCATAATTTCTGCCTGTTTCCCACTAGAACAGTGGGGGTGGGGAGAATGTAGTTTTCCATTTAAATTGGGCAGTACTGTTCCAAAACCATGGCAGCCTTAATAGGAGTCCATTGTAGGAGTAGGAAGGGCTGAGGTAACAACACTTGTTCAGAGGGGAGGTTCAAACACGCTTGGAGGTGCCCAGTGCCCCAGAAAATTTCCCATACTATCCCACACACCCCACCACTCAGAACTATCCAATATTTGGTCAGAGCTCTGGATTATGTTTTTAATGAATTGGTCTGACCTTAAACAAGACCTAAACCATATGCAGCAACATGCTGGCTCCCCGTAAAAGGACCGGGCTGGTTGCAAAGATGTTTAAACATTATCCAAAATATTTAAAATTCTCAAACACTATGTAATCAGCCTGCGGAAGGGAGGGAGGGAGGCAGGCAAGCAGGCAGGAAGGCAGGGCGGAAGGACGGAGGGAAGAGTGGAGGGAAGGAAGGGCAGAAGGAAGGAGGGAGGGAAGGAGGCAGGGAAGGAGGGAAGGAAGGAATGTCCCCTGTAAATTGTCTCTCTGAGAAGAAAAGGCCTTTTCCCTAAGAGAAAAAATTGTGATCAATTGTTCCCTGTAGGTCACTCCCAGAAAATTGAGGTGTCTGCAATACTGAATTCATACAACAGATTGTTTTCCCAGCCAGCAATGCTATCAGATCATAATCCAATGCTAGAAAGTACCTACAGTGATAGTCTTAGCCCAGGCCCCAAAGGCAATTATCACCATAGGGAACACATACTGCAGGTAAGGCATTACAGGTATTCCAGGACACAACCCTAAGAGCAAGCACAGCTGTGAGAGCAAAGAAATCAACATTGTAACCAACTTTGTCTATTAAACCAAGATAATCAATGTTTATAACAAATTTCTTTTAACACATTCCAGCCAGACCGGTACTTATTTCAACCTTTCTGCCAGCTAAGCACTACACAGCTGCTCACTAAATCCAAATTCCACACCCCCACTCAGTGGAATGGGGAGAAGCAAAAGTGAAACTTCTGGGCTGACATAACAGTTAAATGATTGAAAAAAAAATTATAACAGTAAAGTAAAAGAGAGATAGCATTCAATAAAAAAAACTTATCAAATGATGCAAAATGTAATTGCTCACCACCTGCTAACCGATGGCAAACGCTGATTGATTTATTACTCATTTCCATGCACCAATGCTTTAAATAGACAACTTCCATTGAGTATAAAAAATTTCCTAAGGTTTTGAAGGAGATCTTGGCTTTAGGGAAGAAGGTTGGACAGACTGCAGTTCCATGGTACCTGTCAATCAAAGGGGCCAACACCTCTATTTTAGAAACCCTTCAACATTTTCACTGTCCAATTATAACAAGGAACTGAAGCTGTTGTCTGTGAGTGATTTATGACAAATAACTGAAGTACTGCTGTGTTCCTTGGTTGTGACAATTGTTATTTTTAGGGCTAAAGGACAGAAAAGAAGGCGTTGCAGTTATTTTAAGAGAGATTTAGTTTAAACAGTGAAGCTGTGGCTGTATATGGATAACCCGTTTTTCAGATCTAAAAATAGAAAGGTCACATTAACCAGATATTTTTAATTAATGCACTTTAGTACAAAGAGTAGAAATTTATGGACAATTCTTTGAAGAATGAAGGGGTCATTCAAAGAATGTGTGCATATGTGTGCACACTCTTAAGATGTTCCCAGACTGGCCCATGATTTCAGCAAAGCCTTGAGAAATTTGAAAAATGTGTGCTTTGTTAGAGAAGACTAATAGACAGTCTTGAGATATTTCATGGTACTGTGACACTTGATGTTGAATTTTCCTCCTTTGAGGATGCTAAAAAGCAGGAGGAAGAACAGAGGTGTGCTTTTTGGTTTGTTTTCTTTTCAAAGGAGGTCTTCGTCTGTACTTACATTATCTCTGTAATTCAGTGCAGAACATTTACTTGCATGTATCAGCCCAGCTGCAGAAATTCCCTGACTATGATCTGTTACCTGTTGTACTTCTGCCTTTCAAGGAAGAAGATTTTGCAGGAAGAAATGTCAGGTGTTCTAAGGATGATATTTTTTTGATTCTTTCATTCGGGCAAAAAAATTAAAACCATTACCAGCTTTTGAAGTAAACAAAGATGGGAAGACCAAAAAGTCTCTCTGAAATCAAATAATTACTATTTTTCCTTACTGTACAGCATTTGCTCATCCTTGAAAGCAAGTTATTCATGGGAACATTATGCACCTTAGTGACAAAAAGTAATTGGAGGGCTGGGTCAAGAAACTCCTATGGAATTTCAACACTCCTGACTACGAGGGTGTATTACATGCATATGTTTGTAGCTTAAGGCAGGGAAAAATCAGCTCTTTCTCGTAAGGGCTGAATTCAATAGGAATTCCTATTTTGCTTTGGGATAACATCTTTCATTGATTTAATCCCTTCCTGTATGTACTTGCATCATATGAGGTAGTTGTGGTTTTCATTTTACATTCAAGTCTACAGTATGATGAATAGCTATTGTCAGGTTTACTTCACCCTGACCAGTGGTTGCACCAGTGGAGGTAGGCTAGGGTCAAGGAGATGGCCTCAAATAATCTACAATTTTCCTAACCCTATCCCTATCCCCCCTTCCTTAAGCCTTCCTTTATTTATATTTTTCTTTTTTTCTTTCTCTTTTAGAGCCTTGTCTATCTTGCAGCTTATTGAGGCTGGAACTCTGACTAGAAACGACAGATCACTTCATACGTCACACTTTATTGTTTTTTGCACTTTTATCACATTTCCAGAATCTTCTTTCAAAATCAATCCAACTCTGAGGTATATGTTTCTAATTTGTATTACAGAAAAATGCTGCCTCTTTTCTTCACTCAGGTATTTCCCTTTAGTTCAATGGATTATTTACAGCGTAGTGGAATCCTGCACTTCAAGTACTGACTTCATATGATTTACTACACAGTAGTGTTATTACTGTATTAATAAACTTGTAAAACCTGGCCTTGACAGTATTTGATTGCAGACAATTTTTTCTAGAAGTTCTTGACCAAGAAAGTTACAGGTCTTCTCAGAATAAAAGTAGGGATAAATTCACTGCATATAGCTATTGGCAATTTTCAATGAGAAACCAGGAATAAAAGCAAAAATATAACATAAAGCATAGACAGGTAGGAGTGGGAAGGGGAGGGAATAATAATTAAGGAGCATGACTTGTTAGAGGAGGTATATACTGTGAATTTGAGACTGGAAATTCAGATGGTTAAAGCTTGGACTTTTTTGGTGATAAGGTTGAGAGGAAATGAACAAGCTATTTTGAGTAGGCTGGACAGGTAAGACAACAGTGCAAAGGGCTGCAGTGGGGGAAATCCTCATCCCACTGAACAGCACTCTTCTTTTTATGAAACTCAGGGTAAAATTTGCCTCCTGGGCTGCACACACACATTGCTGGCTCATATCTCATTTTTCATCCAGCAGTATAGCTAGGTCTCAGCTCTGCAGGGCTGCTCTCAATCCATTCACCACCCAGCCTGTAGTGAAAATGATGATTGCTCCAATCTAGGTGTGTGACCTTTCACTTGTCCTTGGTGAACTTCAGGAGGTTCACACTGGCCCACTTCTCAAGCATGTGAAGGTATCTCTTCCCTCAAGTGCGTATCAGTTGGATGAGCAGCGATGCCTTGTGAGATAAAAAAGGGGCTCTTCAACTTCAGACCATTAGAACTCATTGAGACAGACCTAAAGCAGACTGAAAGAGCCTTCTTGCCATTGTCAGAACTGGTATTTAAAAATGTACCATAAACATAATAAGAAATAATTTGCATATACGCTGAAAAGATAATATTTTTCTATACATATGTGAACTGTGCCTATATACTAATCATCAAGCATCCTAGTCAGGCTCAAACAGCCCACGTAAAAATGCTGAATCCTAGATAAGAAGCAAAAGGATTACTGGGAAATTAAAGAAAGATAATTGGCTAAACATACTTCTGAGGTCTGCAATATAAGTGTCACTATTTTATTGGATAAGTAAAATACCAGACCTTGTTCATTTTGAGCTACCTGACAAACTAGCTGCAGTTCTAGCTGTTAATCACTGCCTTTAATGGTTTTGATACAGATTCTCTCCTGCAGCCAAGTGTTACAGATATTGAAACTGTTGAGCAGCTAGTCACATTTTCTGATTCTGAGGAACTTATTTGCAGCTTTGGCCCAGACATGAGCAAAACCAGGCAAGGAGCTGCATTAATTTATGCCACTGTCAGACTCTCTCACGGTCTCTCTACCACTGGAGTTCCTCTCTGCCACAACCTTTCATGCTCTGACTAGGGATTTCCCATGCAAAAATATACATATGTGCAATGCACAGATGGTTTGCATATGCGCAGTAGGCTTAACATAGCTGATTTACTGTGTATGCACAGACCATCTGTGCAGCACATGTGCAGCAGGTCTGATGTGTACTGGACACATTGGACTTACTGTGCATGTGCTACACAGTTAATCTGCACACACACAGTAGCCACAGCTCTGACTGAGTTGCCAGACATCCAGATGGCCAGAGTCCTTAAATCCCTTCCAGAGAAAAAATGAAGATGGAATAAGGATGTTTGGTTTTGCTTGTTTTTTCTTCTGGTATAACATAGCTTATCCTTTATTCTCAAATGCAGGAACATATTAAAGTGGATATACCAGCTCATCATATTTCAGTCTAAAAAATAATTTCCCCCTGATAGAGAGCAATTCCCTCTGGTCATGCATGTCCAAAAACAACTACAGAAAAAAAACCAGAGCTGTGATAAAGATTCTTCTCTGTAAAGTTTTACAGAAAAAGCAAATCCATAACAAGCAAACTACACAGGCTTCTCTCAAAGAGGATTGGCAGCCACTTCAGATTTTCTGACTATAAAAATCTTTTCAATCTAGAAATATTTAAATTATTCAGGTTAATGCTCAGAACACTCAGCAACCCTGATCAATCACAAGCCACAGTCTCAGGAAGAGAGCTAGCTGTCTTGTGCCTTGCCTTTTGGGTGGTTGAGATTCAGTGTCTTAGACTTTACATGCTGCTTGCTTTCCCATTAAGACTGTGAACTAATAACACTGTCACTAATGTTTTTGGCAAATTTCCCATCAATAACTCTTCCCTTAAACTTAAACACAAAAGTAACTTATTAGACCCACCAATATTTTTGATAATTGCTAAACACACTGGCAGTTCCAATGTATGGAAAATTTATCTATATTTACTTACTGGGAAGAAGTCTGAAAACACTCTGCATCTGTGGCTGGCATGCAGCTTCTTTTGCATGACCTGAAAATGCACACTGTAATCTGCTCAGTTTCTTCTGCACTCTGGGGAAAGGACTCTCACATTTATTTGCACGCTCAGGCTGCCAAACTCCCAAAAGTGGCAGGAAGAGGTGCTTCTAAGCATTATTTTCAGCAGAAAATTCTGCTTACAAACACCAGCCCAAATAACCCTCTCCAGGAAAAAAATATAAATTAAGGGACCACTGAAAAATAAGACACGAAACAGAAGTTTCAGGTGTTCAAACATGCATTCATATTATGTGACCCAAAACTACAAGAACATATAGCTTTTAGATTAACAAAAAAAATCACATTGTTTTTTTCTCTTATTGCATGTTTCTGCCTTGCAGATATCATCAAGGTCTGTTTGTTGTGTTTTCAAGAGGAAATCATATTAGGTGCCTTACCCATAGGCACCAGGTTGTGAGGTGCATCAAGGCCTTCTCTACTCCATTCTGAGCCAGTCCCATTCACACTGACCTTCCTTGCCTCCCCTGAGCCTCTTAAGTTTGCCACCTGTCTCCAGGAACCCAGAGGGGGCATAATGCCTGAATGAGGCCTAATGAGTGCTGAGCAGAGTGGAATCACCCTTGAACCTTCTGGAAATAAGAGAAAACAGGAAAAGACCCCTCAGGGCTCCTGTGTGGCACTGGGCCTGGAAATGCTGCAGTCCCAGGCTCATATTCTTGCTGTAGGCTTTGTATCCACCAACATGGATGGAGCCTGGAGGTTTTATCACCCGTGTGGCCACATCATGGCAGAGTTCACCACCCTGGGATTCACATACACAATCCCTGAGATGACAGGTAAACCAGGATTTATGGATGATGGGGCAGGGGCAGAGGAGGGAGGGGAAGAGTTGGGGGATCACAGCACATCTGCTGCTTCCACTTAAAAAACTGCGTAAGTTTAACACGTTGCAAGGAACCAAGCATCCCATCACAGACAGCTGCTCTGCAGATACTCCACACTACCTTCATCCCTGTATCACCTTGAGTGGGAAGGACTCAGCTCCACCACTGCACATCTGTGGATGTCTCAGTATGAAGACCAAGGTCACTCTGAGTACCATTTCTCCAGCCCTTCTTCCAGGTGAATCAAGCAACATTACTCATGGGTGCCCAAAACCTGCCCGGAAAGAAATCTGTCTGCTGCTGCCTCAGCACTGCTCCCATAGACCACCGCATCACTGACCTCATCTGTGAACGCAGGTAGGATGAAATTCCTTATGTAAATTAAAAAACAAGTTCTAAAATTTTCCTGCACCACAAAGGACTGAACATCCAGTCTGTTAACTAAAGCTTCATTTGCCTTTGTCCCTCCCCTGCAACAGCAACTTTTAACAAATACTTTCCTATTCTAACTTGGCCTTCTCTTGTAATCTTTCTAACTCAGATCTTCATGTAAGTTTAGCTAAAATATTTCCCATTAACCACAAGCGTTTCAAAATGAAGAGAAGGGCACCTAAAGCCCTGACAAGGAAGATGCCTGCTCGGGGTTGGACTGAGAGGAGCCGCAGGCAAACAAGGTCCCCAAGGCCCTTCCTCAGCAGGAAAACACGAACGGAAAACAAGGAGTAAAAAGCTCGTGAATGGAGATAACGACGCGTGAAACGGATTCGGCTGGAGGAAATTAGTGTAATTTACTGCTATTTATTCAGATAGCGAGGAAATTAAACCCCACTACCACCCACCCAGCGCTCCCTTTGTCGCCGTCGGAGCTGCCCCTCACGGCTGCCGGGTCCCGC